AGCTGGTGAGCTCTTGGGAACCCTCCAAGGCCCGCTCTGTTTTCCGTATCCGCAGACTCCCCCAGGCAGCGGAATGTGCTGCTTTCGCTTGGTCGGGGACCTATGCGAGCGCGGCGTCCATAGGCTTCTCTGACTGTCAAAATGTTGTAGGCCACGTTGCCCTCGGAGGGGGCGCCCTCAGCGGGAAACGACAGTATAGTGGTCTGGTGCTTCAGGGCATGTTCGAGTTTGGCCCCAACCTCCATGCCCTGAAAAACATTGCCGCAAATCGGAACCTTGATGGGGACGGCATTTCGTCCGAAGAGCGTTTCAGGAGGTATGGGAAATTCCATGCAGACCTAGTTGCCAAGGAAGGAGCTGTTAGGCACCCCGCAGCCACGACCACAGAGCTGCAAACCTTCGACCGCAAACTAAAGGTGGCGAGGCTGGCGCTCAAGGCGGGTGCGGGGTTGCTTCCGCTTTGGCCCATGTTAGAGTTTCGAGGCATTGCTCGTCGTCCTCCCTCTCCTCCCGATGGTCCTCCTGTCTTCGACGTTGGGCAGTCGTGGTTCAGAGTTGTAGTTTACTGGTGGTGTCGAATGTGTCTGCGAGGATCGTTTGTCAGTTCCCCCCTGTTGGGGATTGTCCTGAACGTTCTAAGCCGGATCATGATGTCCTGCGTAGTCTTGCGCACAAAGTGGTCGCGTTCCCTTGGTCGGACAGATATGTTTTTTTGTTGTGTTGATCATGGAATTTCTACAGCAGTGGAGCTCCGGTTTTTAAGCTCGGCTGGGAATGTGGCCATCCTTCGGCCACGTCAGTTCGGAACATGAGGAGGCTGAGGTCTGGCCGCCACCCTGATACAGATTGGGTCCTCGTTAATCTGGACGATGTTGTTTCTCTGCTGTCACGGGGTTCCCAGGTGGCGCAAGTGGTAATGTGTCGCGCCGTCCTCAGGGAGGCCAGAAAAGGACACCGCGCCACCCTGGGGAGTAGATCTCACCCCTCAGCCACGACTCAGCCTCGGTCGTGGTCAGGATTTCGAGACATTGGCGTTGCTGCCCCCAAGAAAACGGATGAGGATGAGGATGAGGATGAGGAGGAGGAGGAGGAGGAGGAGGAGGAGGAGGAGGAAGAAGAGGAGGAAGAGGAAGAGGAGGAGAGGATGAGGAGGAGGAGGAGGAGGATGAGGAGGAGGGAGGGACGGGGGAGGGGAAGGGCGAGGGGAAGGGGGAGGGGGAGGAGGATTTGTTTTAACCGACGAGTCAGCAACGATATTGCAGTCAACGCTTCCTCCACGCTCCCTCTTCATAGGCCCCAAGCAAGGATTCGTTTTAACTGAAGGACGCGCCCCGTTGGAAAACAACCGTTCGAAAATCCGGAACTTTGCCAGAACACCGTGCCTGGGACTTCCACTCCACGAATCACCGTTACTGGCGCGTCTTGGCGATCCTGAATCGTGCTAGAATGCCGTTCGTGGGTCTTCAACACAATAAATCAACGTAGCTGTGGTGCCCTGACAGTCCGTCATCGTGTCAAAGCACCACTTCTGGGTCGTTGATCATGAGAGTACCATACTCTTTGAAGCTGTTGTAAACTCTTAGAACGATTGGGTGCCCCGCTAAGGCGATAGCCACATTTAAAAAAAGGAGCCGGCTTCCATCCGTGAAGCCTTTGCAACTTATTATGACGCACGTGCGCGGCGCTTGGGCGAAAACCGCATTTTGAACACCACCCGCCCTCCACCCGTGAAGGAAGCCTTTGTAATTTCGTATGGCGAACGCGCGCGGCTCTGAGGCGACAGCCGCATTCTGAAAACGACCCGCCCTCAATCTGTGAAGATCATGCGAGTTTTTCAAACGGACGTGCGGGGCGCTACGGCGAGAGCAGAATTTTGGAAACGCCCCCCTTTTTCCACATATGAAACTGTTTCCAATTCTCAAGCTTCAGGATCACACGTTTCAAGGATGTCTCAGGCGAAATGCCTGGCCCGCCGTTCCGATTGGCCTCGGAGTGCGACAGGGAAGGTTCATGTATCATGGAAGAGACAGGAGGAGGTGGAGGAGGATGATGAGGAGGAGGTGGCTGCAGGCTGAGGAGGAGGAGGAGGAGGAGAAGGAGGAGGAAGAGGAGGACGAGGAGGAGGGAGGAAGAGGCTGAAGGCTGAAGGCTAAAGGCTGAAGGCTGAAGGCTGAAGGCTGAAGGCTGAAGGTGTGAAGGCTTGGTGTGAGCCAAGCGCCGCCCGTCTCGGGCGGCCTGCGTCCCGCGCAGGTTTCGAGACGCGCGCCTGGCCCGCAGGGCTTGGCCCCTAACGGCCGCCCCCCAGGGTACGCTTCGAGGCACGAGCCCGGCAGGGCTCAGCCCCTCAGCCCGCCCCGGCCGCGGGGTTGAGCCCCCGGCTCTCCAAGCCGAGTCCAGCCAAGGCGAAGATGGGCCCAGCGGCCGACGAAAAGCGATCGACTCTATCAACGGCAGCCCGCTCAGGAGTCCACTGCGCAGATCTTCTGTCTGGGCGAGTTACCCTTATACACGCCCTTCCTTGATGATGCCAGCCATGGCCTTCGCGGCAAACTCCGGCGAGTCAGTTAGACATTGGACAAACCGCCGCAAGTCGCCAGAGGCCTCCGTCCTATGCTCCCCGTCCTAGGTGTCCAGGTGCAGCCCCGGCATCAGCGTGTGCACCCTCTGCTCCTCGGTCATCGTGTTCATGTTGACCGTGGTATTTTTGCCCGAGGTATCTATCTCAACGAGGCCGAGCTCCAGCATGCGCTTCGTCACATGCACTTCGGCGTCGTGGTTGTCCAACCCCTGCTGCCCGCAGTCGCCCGCGGGCTCCACGGCCAGGTAGCTGCCGTCGAGGTCCGCCCAACGACGCTAGGCCTGGCCCCTGCGGCTGCGACCAGGTTGCGATCATCGCGGCGTAGCTCCGCGGGGCGCTCATTCGCCTCTACACGGTCACTCGGCGACGTCTCTTGGTCTTCCGGGTCGGCGTGGTGCGAGGCCAAACTGTTGTCCACCTCCTGGCTCTTCGGCGGCGGGTGCACCAGCATGTCGAAAGCGGTTTCGATGTTCCAGCACGCCTCGAAGTGTTCGCATCCTTCGAGGCTGAATATGTCAATTCCGTGTGCCAGCTTCTGGACCTCTTCTCCGCCCTCCTCACCTAGTACCAGTTGTCGGATGCCTTCTTCGTCTGCGAGCCCGAGGCCGGTTCTTTGAACGAGTTCAGCGGCTTCGGCACCTGGTTCTGGTAGTAGCTTGCCCTGTCCTTGCTGCAGTCGCGCGTAGCCGCCTTGATGGGCCGCTGTCTTTGTGGTCCGCCCGCGGGTCCAGACCCTTCTGTTGCCCAGCGTGCCCACCTTGACGCAGGACTTTACATCTCCCGCGCCACCGGATGGCGACTCCATCAGCCCTGATGAATTCGGGGCTGGAGGCGGCGATGGCGCTCGGCTCCTGCACGCCGAGCGGGAGCGCAGCCTCGGTTCCAGGCGGCCAGACCGGCGCCTCCTCGTCTCCTCCGTGTCGCTCGACTGGCCAGCCTGGCTGCTCGGGGCCCTCTTGGCGGACTCCCTGTCCCGCGGCCTGATACTGCCGGTCGGGCTCCGCCACCGGTACCGCGTTGCCCGCGCCCACCTGCCTGTCAGCTCCTCTCGGGCCTGCTCCGTGACCCTCTCCAGCACGTCCCGCATCGCCACCCTGATGGCTCCGAACGCTGCCTGCTTCGCCACGCCCGGCACCAGCTTGCCCGCTGAGGCGGATCCCTCCGTCCCTCCATGCGGGGCTGCACGTCTGCGCGGCACGGTTCCATCAGCAGCCCAGGGCGGCCCGTGCGCGGACTCGGGGTTTCCTCCTCCCTCGCTCTTCCTCGCTCCCCCCCCTCCTCCTCCTCCTCTCCTCCTCCTCCTCCTCTCCTCCTCCTCCTCCTCCTCCTCCTCCTCTCCTCCTTCTCCCGCACTCCTCCTCCGCCTCCTCCTCCTCCTCTCCTCCTCCTCCTCCCTCCTCCTCCTCCTCCTCCTCTTTCCTCCTCCTCCTCCTCCTCCTCCTCCTCCTCCTCCTCTCCTCGCTCGTCGCTCCTTCCTCCTCTCCTCCTCCTCCTCCTCCTCCTCCTTCTGCTCCTCCTCCTCGCTCCTCGCTCCTCCCTCCTCGCTCCTCGCTCCTCGCTCCTCCAGACAAGGAGCTGGTTGCCGTAGCCGGCCCGCGCGGGTGCGCCGCTTCAAAGCACGCCCGCTCAAGATGCGAGGGGCACCAGTAGGGAGGGGGCTTGGCCCGCGCGCGCCCGCTCTGCCCGCGCCCTGGCCGCGGAGGAGGAGGAGGAGGAGGAGGAGGAGGAGGAGGAGGAGGAGGAGGAGGAGGAGGAGGAGGAGGGGGAAGGCGAGGAGGAGGATGGAGGGAGGAGGAGGAGGAGAGGAGGAGGAGGAGGAGAGGAGGAGGAGGAGGAGGAGGAGGAGGAGGAGGAGGGGGGGGAGGAGGAGGAAGGTGAGGAGGAGGGAGGAGGATGGAGGAGTACGAGGAGGAAGGAGGAGGAGGAGGAGGAGGAGGAGGAGGAGGAGGAGGGGGAGGAGGAGAGGAGAGGAGGCGGAGGGGGGGAGGAGGAGGAGGGGAGGAGGAGGAGGAGGAGAGGAGGGCGGAGGAGGAGGGGAGGAAGAGGAGGGCGAGGAGAAGGAAGAGGAGGAAGTGGATGGAGGATGGAGGACGGAGGAGGGAAGATGGAGGATGCAGGATGGTGGAGGAGGAGGGGAAGGAGGCGGAGGAAGGAGAAGGGTGAGGAGGAGGATGAGGAGTAGTAGGATTGAGGAGGAGGAGGAGGAGGAGGAGGAGGAGGGGGAGGAGGAGGAGGATGAAGAGGAAGTGGATGGAGGATGGAGGACTGAGGATGGGGAATGCAGGATGGAGGAGGAGGAGGAGAAAGAGGAGGCGGAGGAGGAGGAGGAGGAGGAGGAGGAGGAGGAGGAGGAGGAGGAGGAGGAGGAGGGAGGAGGATCTGTAACTCCCGGGAACAGGTGTTGGCGTTCCCCACCGAGGAGGCCCTGGAGATGCTCAGCCAGGCCGCGCGGGTTTCTTTGCTCCGGGCGATAGGAGCTTCCACTGCGAGTTCAACGATGTTCTGACGCTTTCCGCTCGGACGATTCCCGAACTGTTGCCGCCGATGTCTAGCTAGGTCTTCGTAGTCCTTCTCCTCCTTCTCCGTAGCCATTTTGGCTCAAGTCTCCATGTCGCTGTGCGGCCACATGGAGACGGCTGGGCCGCGGACAGTTCTCAGTTGTTTCCAGCCACATGCAGGGGTGAGCTGGCACCCGCGCCTCCGCCCCTTGGCCTCCATATCCGCCGCGCTCCTGGCGCTCCTGGCGCTGCTTCAGCTGGCCTTTCATATTCTGCTCGTCGAGCCGCGCTCCGAGCCCGCCTCCCGCGTGTATTTCGGCGTCTCGGTTGACGGAGCAGTCTCGGGACCATGCCTGACCAGCGTGCAGACTCCGATCAGCACAAACTCACGGACGACGCTATGGGCTCCAGCAGTGAAGGTGAAATTGTTTACGCTTCGCGAGTCCCCACCAGCCCATCCAAAAGCAGCCGTTCCAAAAAGGAGCGCTGACCGTAGGGTGTTTTCTCTTCCTTCTCCCTCTATTTGGCTTCGTTCTTCCATCCTCCTCTCCTTCTCCTCGTCCTCGTTGCTCCTTCTCTTCGTCCTCCTCCTCCTGGCATTGCCGTGCGATCTTGGGGCTCTCTTGGGATCTCAGGGAATCCTGGGGCTCTCTTGGGGCTCTCTTGGGGCTCCTTCGGGAGTCTTGAAACCTTCTCGGGGCTCTTTGTGGGAGTTTGGGAGGTCTCTTGGGGCCATCTTGGAGGCCATCGGGCAAAGAAGGAGAGAGCATTTATTGGTGTACCCCCGTCGGGGCCCGAAATATCGCCTCTTGGAGCCCTCTTGGGCCGCTCTTGGGCGCCTGTTGGGCGCTCTTGGGGGCCGTCTTGGGGCTCTCTTGGGCCGTATTTGCAGCCTCTTGGGCCGTCTTGGAGCCGTCTTGGAGCCGTCTTGGGAGCCTATTGGGCCGTCTTGGGGCGGTCTTGCGGGCCTTTTTGGGCTGTCTTGGAGCGTCGGGAAGCCGAAAGGGCGGGAACGCTAACATGTTCGAATTACTTTTAGGAAAACATATGATTTTGACCTCGTGGGGCCCTCTTAGGGCGCTTCTCGGGGCTCTCTTGGAGCGTTTTGGGGGCCTCGTGGGCCGTCTTGGCCTCTCGGGGGCGTCCTCGGGAGGCTCCGCGGCCACTTGGAGCCGTGTTGTGGCGGTCTTGGAGCCGCTTGGGGCTCTTTTGGGCCGCTCTTGGGCGCCCCTTGGGCGCTCTTGGGGCCGTCTTGGGGCCCTCTTGGGCCGTACTGGCCGCCGCTTGGGCAGTCTTGGGGCCCTCTTGGGCCGTCTTGGAGCCGTCTTGGGAGCCTATTGGGCCGTCTTGGGGCGGTCTTGCATGCCTTTTGGGCTGTCTTGGAGCGTCGGGAAACCGAAGGGCGGGAACGCTAAAATATTTGAAATACCAAAGGAAAATCAATGGTTTTGGCCTTGTGGGGCCCTCTTAGGGCGCCTCTCGGGGCTCTCTTGGAGCGTCTTGGGGACCTCTTGGGCCGTCTTAGTTTCCCGGGGGCGTCCTCGGGAGGCTCCGCGGCCACTTGGAGCCGTGTTGTGGCGGTCTTGGAGCCGCTTGGGGCTCTCTTGGGCCGCTCTTGGGCGCCATTTGGGGGCTCTTGGGGCCGTCTTGGGGCCCTCTTGGGCCGTACTGGCCGCCGCTTGGGCAGTCTTGGGGCCCTCTTGGGGCGTTATGGAGCCGTCTTGGGAGCGCTCTTGGGTACCTTGAGAGCGCTCTTGGGGCCATCTTGGAGGAGATCGGTCAAAGAAAAACGAAAGCACTTATTTCCCCCCCTGGGGCCACGATCCCTGTGAGGGGTTTCAAAAAATGAGCCCCCCAGGGACCGACAAAGGACGCCCCGGCGACCCGCGGCTTCCCCCCTCTCCAGGCCCAGGGGTAGGGGGTACGGGGAGGGGTCAAGACCCCCTCCCCGCCCGCAAGCCGTCTCGCTCACTCCCACCCGCCCTCTCAACACATACGTAGCACCCGAGTCTGGCCCGAGCCTCAGCATATTCAGCAGTCGTCTTTGGATGGGCAGCTACTGGGGGCCAATCCGCCGCCGCCGCCGCCGCCGCCGCCGCCGCGCGCCGCCGCCGCCGCCGCCGCCGCCGCCGCCGCCGCCGCGCCGCCGCCGCCGCCGCCCGCCGCCGCCGCGCCGCCGCCGCCGCCGCCGCCGCCGCCGCCCCGCCGCCGCCGCCGCCGCCCGCGCCAAACCGCCGCCGCCGCCGCAGCCGCTGCCGCCACCGCTACCGCCGCCGCCGCCGCCGCAGCCGCTGCCGCCGCCGCCGCCGCCCCCGCCGCCGCCGCCGCCGCAGCCGCCGCAGCCGCCGCCACCGCCGCCGCAGCCGCCGCCGCCGCCAAGTGTACTCTGTGTTGTTTTTTGATAGGGATGGTGGTGGGGGGGCGCATCGGGTTGGCTGCGCATGTTCCGAATTTGGGGCAGAGTGTGTTTTGTTTTGTTGTTTGCAAGGGGTGGTGGGGGGGGGCGTCATGGACTCGGGTTGGCCCCCAGTCGCCTTGGGGAGGGGGTGTTTATTCATAGGGAACAGTGATAAACCCTTCCCCGAAAGGGAAGAAAGGGGGTTGAGAACAGAGAGGACTATCTAAACCACTCACGCCCTAAAGGGCTGGTGGGATTCGCAGCGTATCAGGCATTGGAGGAGATCGGCAGGAACTTCGACGCGCTAGGCAAGACCAACACGATCCACCACATCCTGGACGTCGTCATCGTCGCGACAGTGTCCGAGAAGATGATCGGGATCGTTGGCGAGGATATGGTCGCCTCTGTGATGCACCCCAGGCTGCTTGCGCTCTGCGTGCCTCAGGACTTCCCGGTGCTGGCCCTTCCGCTCCTCGAGGGCTTCTCGCAGCAGCCGTTGCTAGCGCCGCTGGAGTTGCTGCCGCTCAGTACCGATCGGAGTGCTCGCCAGGTCCGACGAGAAATCCAAAGACGACGTATGCAGCGCATCCTCGAGCCCCTCTACCCCACCATCTCCTTCAGGCCGTACAAGCAAAACGGAAGGATCACCATCGACGGCGCTCCCATTTTCAAGCTCGAGATCGGCACCACAGCGACGATGGATACCAAAGTGGAATGGATTCGCGCGCTGGCTGTACAGAAGGGAGTTCAATGCGAGGCGGTCGACAAGAGCTTCCATGCCTTCTCCGCCGAGGATCGAGGTATTACGTGGTGGTAGCATCCTACGTTCGCCGGTTTCCCAGTATGGCTTGCAGATCATCTCGTGGAGCGCGCGCAGCTTCCTCATGTTCGACAGACGGCGCTGCCAGGCCAATGTGTGGGTACTCATACCTTATCTTAAGCAGGGAAACGTCGAGGTGATGCAAGGGGCGCATGGCATCGCCATCAAGCGTCGACGCCTGCTCCCATGCCAACCACCCGAGTGTTTCATCTTCCGTTCCAGATGTGGCCCCTCTTGTGCTGGCGGAGTCGCATGTATCTATCCGCGGCTGAGCCATCTCGACATCTTGTACTTGGAGGACTCGACGGCAAAGGTTCTTGGCACGCCTTCACGCGCGTCCTCTTCGGCAGCGGTGGACTCGCCGAGTTCGTCCCTGTCTTCCTCGTCAGCCTCTTCAGATGCGATGACTGTGCTGGGCATGTCGTGGATCCAGGTGATGAGCGAGGTGTTCATCCCAATCCCTCGCGCGATGCTGCTCTCGGCGCCTCGCCCACCCACTTGCCGCTTCTTCTCGCTGCTGAATAAGGCCCCTCTCTGCCGCGAAGGCGGGCCCCCGCCTCTGGGCCATCCGTGTCGTCGTGATCCCGCTGACCAAGGGCAGAACGCAGCGCTGTTTAAGCAGGAAGGTGACCATGGCGAAGGGGCGAGGATCCCAGATGTCACCTTCCCCGTGCATGGTGGAATTTGGCGGCCGACGATGCCCTCGCACAAGGGCGCTGCTGTCATTCGGGCGCTTGTCGGGCATCATCACCAGATGCCAGCTCGCGTCCTTCTGCTCGAGCATTTCTTGGAACGCGCCTCCGTTGCCGCGTTCATCAATGTTCGCGACTTCGAGCCCATCTACGATCAGCGGCGCATCATCCACGTGGAGTGGGGCAAGATCTGGGCCGTGGCGATTGGCATCGCCTTCCGCGCGGGATGCGCTCTCCTTCTCTCTCCAGAAGAGGGGGCGTTGGCGGCGCGCGCGGACGGACTCGGGCTGCAGCTACCTCGCCTCGCGACGCTGGCGCCGCAGGCGGATGGGCCCCGCCATGCTGCGTACTCGGCCACTTCCACCTCGACGCGAAGAAGTGCGCGTCCTTCCCGCGCGGGGTCGAGCTCTCCGACGCGTTGCGCGCGGAGCTCCGCATGCGCCTCATGCAGCCCGTGCCTGGCTGGACCACCTTCAAGATTTCCGACGAGGCGTCTTCGTGGGCGCCCATGTCTGCCGTGATGCTGACAATATGATGCAGTGTGCCGCGGCAGGTGCCCGCTGCAACCCGTTGGTAGCTCTACCGTCCCGATCGACTCTACTGCGAGGTTCTACGAGGCGTCGCGGATCTCTGAACTCGGCTACCTCTCGCGGTTCTTCGCCCCCCCCCCCCCCCCATGTCGCTGCGTTGGGTGGAGATCCGCTCGGCCCAGCAGGTTCCTCCTCCAAGATAGCCAGACTTTCGCGAACTGGGCGCCAGAGATTGCGCTGCGGTCGCTGCCCCTCTTTTCCCTGGGTTCGCAATGTTGCGCCGCCAGCTTCACCGTGACGCAGTGGATGAGGTATCCCCAGAAGCTCAAGTCCGCGGTTGCTGGTGTTTGTGGCCATGCAGATTTCTGCGCTCAGCGGTTGTCAACCACGTTCTGGAATGAGCCGCTGGCCAATGCGCAGCGCTGTTCGGAGATGCGGGCAGGCTGCTCTCCGCTGGCCCCTTATCGTCGCCACCGTGATCTCGTCCGTGCTGGGGTCGCCGCTC